ACATTTTGTCACTTCAACATTTTTTCGTCGTCTTATTGCGAAAATTCTGTCTTCATTGTTGAATAACAAAGCGTACAAGTGTACGCGAGAAGTCATAGTCGAAAGAAAAGAGAGGTAGTAGGGAAGAGGAGACAAGAATAATTGCAACCCGTCGCCAAGTAACATGGAAAGATCCCTAGACATGGACACACTGCCATGGTTTAGGTTTTGTGGGTATATACTAATTATATTATCTCAAGTATCATGCACTAAAATGCATGTGCTTCTTCTTTCTCTTCACATGTATCTCTTTACCCTACCTCCACTCCACCCACCCCTTCTCCCACCTATATATACATAATTATATTTGTATTTATATAGATAGAGGTACATATACATTGTACTTTCAAGTACATTTTATAGTAGGGTGTGAACTTTGCATGTTGCTAGAAATAGGTGACAAGATTTGTGTTTAGATTTTAGATGTTCAAGGGCCAAAGAATAGGCATTTGATGCATTGTACTAATTAAAGTTTTGTATTGGGTTCATGTTTGGTTAAGTATAAAACATTAACTTATAAGTAATTTTAAAATAAATAAACTTTTAATGGCAACTTGAAAATATGTATCTATCGAAGTACCTTTTAATTTGTATAGTCGTTTAACAAAAAAGTTACCAACTTCAATCAATTTTAATGTTGAGTAATGTACATACAAAGTAGAATATCATTACAATGAATATTTGCGTAGATATTAAAAAAAAAATCCATGCCTAAGGGGTTATTTCAATTTTTTTCCTCTTCGAAAAAGGTCGGCCAATGAGAATTTATCGTGTTCAAGATAATTAAGAATATCAATTTAACAAATGTAATAGTCAATGTATTCCTTGGCGGATACGGGTGCTGGACCAAGCTACGAATATGAATAGAACAAATGTGGCCCGGTCCAGCCCCAGCTCATATGCATTTTTTATTTTATTATATATTATATATATATTGATTTTTTATAGCATTTAATTTTGTGGTGACGAATTGTGAAGCATAATGATTTTTGTCCTTTTTAGGCATTTAATGGTGTGGTGATGAATTTAGCGAACAAATATTCCTTTAGTAGAAATTATAAATCACATCATATATATTACCTTATTGATTTTTCATTAAAAGATTTTTTCTTTAAAAGAATAACGTTGAAGTGATAATTTTTATTATGTTGTTTATTTAAACTCTAACAAGAAATAAATTAATTTTAAGTGACGGCGTGATTTTTTCATAATGTAGTGTTAAAATGGAGGAAGGAAAAAAATTAAAAATCGTGATTTTTTTAAATATAATTAAAAATGAAAAAAAAAAATGTAAGGGTGGTTATATTCATATATTATCACCACAAATTTTACACCACGGTTTAATTGTAGTTAAATTCTTCAATTTTTGTTCTTTGTAGCAATTATTTTCTTAACCGTTTTTTTTTTTTTTTTTT